TACAGGTACCATTTACACGATTCAATAAACATCATCAATCCAATTACACAATCACAGGCAAAGGATTAGAGGCAATATTTATCCTCTTTATTCGAAAATTTCATGAGGCGATTTTCGTTATGCTGTTATTAATTTCAATGAGTAGGCAGGCTTAGTGTTTAATCTACCATTTTTCTTACAAAACGCCGTGCAGGATGATTTATGTTTTCGAATGTCATAATCATCAACTTTACCGCTTCTACAAGATAAGCTGCTGCCCGTACTGATGTACTTTCATTCGTGTAAAGAAATTTGCCCACGTACAGGGATATTTCGGCTGACTTTTAATTTGTCAATAACTAAAAAATAAAACTAGAAACGCAATCTTTTTGTTCTTGATTTTCATCTGATTTTAGCTAGAAGAATCAATTCTAAATTTGTCTACCACCTCAAACATCCTGTATACTTATTTAATGGGATATTCTAGTTAACTTTCGGAATCCAGTCATAGGATCTTGCACACATTTTTTGAAAAAAAAGGATGCAAAAGTAATCGATTTTTTCAAAGATAAACAGCATGTAATTTCAAATTTTCTACTATTGTCTTCCCTTGTCATAATCTATAATAAATTATGTTTTAAATAAAGTATAATTTTCTGTGAAATATGTTTGTGAAATAATACTGAAACATTGAATTCATTATCCCACATTTTATTTTATGCATAATATATTTTCATATCGTGGTTATATAAAGCTTAAAACTGAGTTGAATTATTAAAATATCGAACTGAATATTCTTTAAAATCAACGCGTAGTTTCGGGGAGAATTTTTGCTGGAATATGTAGAAACGCGAGTCCCAATCTAAAAATGTATCTGGGTTATCTACGTACGATAATAGATCCTATTTACTCTGCATCTAAATGCACAGCAACACTACATTGTAAACAATATCCAAAAACTAGTAGAATTTTAACGTCATTTTCTAAGAAAGTGGTTACGTTGCGCATGATCATGACAAGAAATCATGATTCCTTTGAGACTTTTCGTTGCCATAATCAGTAGAATATAACATAATACAAAAATATTTAACTGTAACTCTCAAGGATAAGATCTATTTTGCACGGACTTTTTTTTAGCGTGATCCAACGTATTTGCTGTGGTGGTTTTTACGCCTATCTCTTATACACCCCGTACATATTCGGTTACACTACTACATCAGTAATCATACTATGATGCTAGGAAATTATGTCAGACACGCTTAGAGTAATTCGTAATTCATTCCGACAGCGTTCAGAGAAATATAAACAAGTAAACGACAAGAACTCTGAATAAAAATATTACAAGTAAGTGATACGATCACATTCAATTTTGTCTGTTTTTAAGATTCAAGATTAACTCAAGATCGCTTTATTATTAATCGTTAGATTCGTTTTTCATTTACATTCACTTCGAAAAAATCAAGGTCATCTTAATATCTCAGGAAACATAAGATATAAGGAAAATAAAGTCCATTCATTCAATGAATCCCTTCAAATGCAACATCCATTCAAACCTTGAGTTATGAGCTATTTCAAATAATAGTTCTTATTGACTCATACTGTACACTTTATAGTTGAATTCTAAACTTGACGCTTGAGGATTCATGAACCTTACCGAGTTTCCGCGATCACACGATGGTTTTTTACGTTGGTCGTTAATATATGTTTTGGGCGTGACTAATGAGAAAGGTGATATTTCGTTAATCTTACAGAATGTTATTTAATGTAACACCCTAAAAACGACGTCAAAATTGTGCAAACGCTAAATGAAGTTTCTGAGCTGGTCAGAGATTTATCTACTCCGAATATATCGGATATATAATAAATAATAAATAATTCGAACTTGAAGTTTAGTCCTCTTCGAAATCGACATTTCAATAAAAATCAAATACCTTAATATTCATTAGGATGTTGATGTAAATTGTTTAATTTACATAAAAAATATATTTTTGTTTTTATAAACATTACTATGTTCTTAAAGTTTCTCTTCATATATCCCTCTTTTAAACATTTTTTATTCTCTTCAAGATCGTTCTTGAAAATGCGGGCTCATTCTTTTTATTTTTCACGCGTGCAAACAAAGAAATTAAAACCGTCTCAACAAAATTTCTATAAACTAACCGAATTTTATTATCTTTTATCATTATTAGTCGTATTGACCGTATCCGTAAATAGTTTTAATACTTGTCATTTATAAGTATACGGACGTCGTTTTTGAGACTACATAATAAGACAAAGAAAAAAGTCTGTGCAAAGTTGCTTTTGACTTCGAAAATGAGGGTCAAATTTTCTTGCTTGCATTGTATTCTACTCATCGCAAACACCAACCTTGCAATAGGAAGCATAGGTCGCAATTCAACTATTCTCTTGGAAAATGGTTTTAACATTTCATTACATTTGCATTGACATTATTTACGACATGTTTATATTTCACAATCAAATAGAAAGTATTAATGGGTATATTAATGGGGAAACAGGAAATTATATCTTAGTTCGTGAATGACCGATCCTAAATAGAGTGATATACCTAACTGCATGATTTTAAAATATTACAAAATTATTATTACAATACTTCATGAGAGCAATGAGCTAGCGAAAGCGCTAATAAATAGCGTAAAAGAGAATTCGGTGTTACTAGTCTTTGTTTGGGTGGACACGTAGAAGACACATGAAAGCTACAACTACATTTTCTTTAAATAGTATTATATATTTTCGAGTTGGTCGAGATATGCTATTCGTTATTCCATATAAGAAACTATTAAATTGATCATGCCTAAAAAGGAATTGGTCCAGGAGGCATTTTAATAAATTATGCTTTTTTTCTATAACTACCATACATATCAGTAAAAGTAATTTTGTAATATTTTTAAAGCAGGGAGTTAAATGCTTTATTCCATTTGGGATCGTCTATTTTACGTGCAATAAAATAATTTCCTGAATCCTCATTAATATTCCGATATTTATTTTCTATATCTATTCTCTATATCTCTATGGACATATTGTAAAAAATGTCAATGCAATTTTAATATCATTTTCCAAGACAACGGTTAAATTGCAACTTACGATTCCTTTCACGTACTTAGTTCTCGTGATGAGTAGAATACGATGCAAGCAAGAAAATTAGACTTGCTTTTCTAGGTCAGACAATTTTACATGGAATTTTTTAATCAAATACCAACAATATTATACACTATACATATACAAAAATGTTGGATGAGACTTATTTTTCTTGTTTTGCACTATACGGGAATGGTTGTATGCAATCTATCATATACCAGTATGTGCGTTTGGTCGAATGATAATATTAGAATGTTGCTTGTCATGCAATGCTGTATTATGAAAAATATCCAAAACACGCGCTTGCACACACACGATTGACTTTATAGACTGTAATGTAATGTAGCACACATAAAAATGTAACGTATGTTGTTATGAAAAATATTTTAGGATGCTTCTTACTTTTTTATTCAATAAAAGCATACTTTCATATTATCAATTAGCAGAAAAATAGAAATATCATCTATCTTTTTTCCTTTTATGCATCACACATGTGTGGTGTATTCCAACAACTGCTGAGATTGTCTACATACCATTTTCTATTATTTTACATATGAAAATATATGCCATATTATGTAACATATTGAAAATTCGAAACTTGACCCGAAATGATTAAATTTGTTTTATATTATTGACAGTTTATAAGAAGAAATGCACGTTATGAGTAATACACATAATACCTAAATATACATGATCACAAGCTTACCAATCGGATACTGATACGATCGCGAATTACGAATGACGGACAACGGCCTCCCATCATCAATTATACAAAAAAAATAATGGAAGGCGCCACAATCTCTCTACAGGAGTGCTGCCATTACCACAGGGTGTGAAACTCCAAACACAAATATATACACGACATTTTATATCCTAAAAAGAAGAATGCAAAACCTACCAAGTGTAATTTTATTATCAGTATTTCTTGCAATTTTTATAAGTTGCGCTGTACTATACTTAAAATTACTAATACTACGGATTATATATTATACGATACTACAGCTATACTACTATTATAACATTAGTATAACAGCGTCAAAAAGTGTTGAATATAATCAATCATATTTTATGTAAAGAATTTGTAAAGTTATTTTACATAGAAAGCTAACAAAGAATAATGAAACGAATAAAGTGTAGTTAAATATACAATATTATGTCTAACGAAGGAATAAACTTGGAACATCTCTTACTAATTGTAAATTGAAAAACATCTCATTTATCATGTTTATTATAAAATTGCACATTCTAATGTGATAATCAGAAATTTGGGACTCCCAGATTCAATTACAAAAAAATTCTATTCGTAAAAATATCCCAATGTTTCATAAGTACTGCAACTGGTTCTATTAGAAGTTAAATGACACAAAAATACTCACGCATATGCTTTGTAATAACTTATACCAAAATTAATCGAAAAATTATCAAATCAAAAATGTATGAAAATGCGCGTAAATATCTTAGATTTTCTCGTTTCGAATCATAGAGTATGTGACAAATAGCGAATATCTGCTATTTAACATAAGTTAAAATTAATGGAGAAAGACCAACTAGCAATTAGATAAAATAGTAATGCTAAAAAGAGGAGAATCACACAAATAGAAACACGTATTGAGAGTTCAGAATACGATAGATACATTAAAGCAAAAGATATCCCATCAAGTACAAAAAGGAAAATCCCAGAAAACAAGAATGAATTAAGATTCATATTAAGATCCAATACGAAAAATGTTGGAACTAAATGGCCTGCAAGATCGGCTCTACAACAAATAAATATTGAACACGAAACAAGCAAAAGAAAGAAAAACGATATGTGAGTTAATGAAAAAATCATAGACAATAAAACAAATTCATGTTAGACACATCAATAAACACGGTGTTCGACTACAGGTGTAAAAGATTTAAGGCGTGATTCTTAGATGCACAAGGATCCTCAAATCGAACGATACTTGAACAGCAGCTTACCTCGTACAAGTCGCAAAGAAAAAGATTATGACATTTCAAGACGTAAACCATCCTACCCGACATTTTGTAAGAAAAATCGTAAATTAAACATTAAACCTGCTCACTCATTAAAATCCATAACAAAAGCACTGCATGGAATTTTCAAGTAGACAGGATTATTATTTTCTCTAATATGTTGCCGCCAAAAATAATTAATAAACGAAGGCACGTATAAACAATGTTTATATAAATTTCGGACTTCCTAAAGTGTGGGAATATTTGAAGACATTCGACGTGATCGGACTCACGAAAACATGGATAGAGGAAGACAATTGGGAAAAACTAAAATATAGACTACCCGAAGAATTCGACTGGAAATGCAGAGTAGCAATGAGAGTAAGGAAAAAAGGAAGAGTAAAGGGGGAATAATAACGGGTATAAATAAGGAACTGAGAGAAATAGAATACAAAGAAATAAGTGATCATATAGTGGAAAGAAAAATAGTATACAATGATAAGACGTATAGAGTAATGGTGGTTTATAATCAAGGCACAAAAGGGACATGGAAAGAAATAGCGGAAAGAGTAGACGAAAGAGAAGAGGAAGTGATAATCATCGGTGGAGGCTGGAATGCAAGAACGGGAAAAGAGGGAGGGCCGATAAACGAGGATCTAGGGAAAGAAAAAAACAGGCGATCAAAAGACAAGACAACAAACATGGAAGGAAGAACTCTGCTAAAGTACCTGGAAGAGGAGTGGACATATATTGGGGAGAGAGGAAACTCAGTAATAGATTATATGATTCGCAATCAGGAGGCGACAGAAGAAATAATTGACATGAAAGTAGGAAAAAGAACAGAGTCGGACCACATGCCGTTAGAAATAGAAATGGGAGGGGGGCAGAATTACGAAAAAATGAAGAAAAGAAAGAAGAAGAGAAGGAGAAAAGGGAATGGACAACGAAAGTGTAGAAAAATATCTGGAGGAATGTAAAGACTGGATCTGCAAGGGAAGAACAGTAGAGGAAATGTGGACTGAAATCAAAAAGAAGATAAACGAAGCAATGCCAAAGAAGAAAGTGAAGATAAGGAAATGGGGCATGGGAGAGAAAGTTTATGAAAGGAAAATGCAGCAGAGAAGCGTTCATAGAGGGAAAATGGCATTCAAACAGTGGTGCAAACAAAGAAAGGAAAGACACGAAGAAGAAGAAATGGAGAAAATAAAGAAGATCGAAACAGAACAAGAAGCGTGGAAATATATAAATAAATATAGAAGAAGAAGAGAAGATGAGGATATAAGCGAAGAAGAGTGGAAAAATCACTTTATGGAAATTTTAGAAGGAACAGAGCACAAAGAGGGCAGAAAAATGGGGGAGGGGGCATAGAGAGGAAGAGAAAATGATGGAGGAGAGAGAAGATAATATAGAGAAGGAAGAGATGATCTACCAGTTAAGAAACTTAAAGGAAAAGAAAGCAATGAGGGAAGACGGTTTAGAAAATGAGATATAGAAGTATGCACCAAAGGAAGTGGGGGGGGCGTTATGAGAGTTGTTAAGGAAAATATGGAACGGGGAGGGGAACTAGAAGATTGGAAAAAAGGAGTAATATGTCTGATATATAAGAGAGGGGACAAGAGAGTAGTGAAGAGTTACAGAGGAGTAACATTAATGGATACAGCATACAAGATCTATGCAGGGATACTGGACGAACGACTGAAGGCAGAAATTGAAAACAAACTGGAAGAGAGCCAATTTGGATTCAGAAAAGGAAGAGGAGTGACCGATGCGGTATTTGTAATAAACCATATCATAGACAAACAGTTGAGTAAAGAAAAAGGGAAATTATGTGCCTGCTTTGCGGACTTAAGAGCGGCGTTCGACAAGCTAAACAGAGAGAAACTAGAGGAGAAAATGAAGAAAATAGAGATTAGCGAAAAACTAACCCGAAGGATTAAAGAGAAATACGCAGAAACAAAGAATGTAGTGAGAGTCAGGAACCACAACACAAGAGAATTTTGGACAGTGAGGGGAGTCAGACAAGGGTGCCCGTTGAGCCCGACGTTATTCAACATCTACGTGGCAGGACTGGAAGAAGAACTAAGGAAAGGACAAGCTTGGGGCATAGTGGTAGGAGTAAGAAAGGTATGGTCACTAACATATGCAGACGATATTGTGCTGGTGGCGGATAGAGAAGAGGAGCTAAAAGAAATATTAAAGAGATTCAAAAAATTTTTAAAGGAAGCCGAATTAGAAGTGAGCACGGAAAAGACCAAAATAGTAAGACCAAAAGAAGGAACAAAAGAAGACAAAGAAAATGGAAATGGGGAGAGTAAGAATTAGAAGAAGTGGACGAGATAAGATACCTAGGGTACATACTATAGAAAAACGGCAGTGATGAGAAACACATACAAGAGAGGAAAAAGAGAGCAACAATAGCAATGAAGGAAACATGGAACGTGGAAAAAGAATATTCAAACAGGACTACAAGAGGAGAATAAAGATGTTTGGAGCACTCGTAGAGAGCGTGGCGCTGTTTGGAGCAGAGGTATGGGACTGGAACATGGAAGAAAGACTGGATAGAATACAAAGAAGATATACGAAATGGATATTAGGTTTAAATATGACAACACCAAATTGATAGAAAAATGCAAGATAATAGAAATAAAAGAAAAAGCATTAAAAAGAGCAGCAAGGTATGAAGAGAAAGCCCTAGAATCAAAAAAGGAACTAGTAAAGGAGTATATAAAGGAAAGAGAGAATCTGGGGAAATGACCAAGAAGGGAAAAGAGCAAGAAAGAGAAAGAAGGGACTAGAAGAGGTGAGAAAAGGAGGGACGCAGATAGAAGCAAGAGAGGAGCAAGAAAGGATGACAGCAAACCAAATTATAGAAGAAAGAAGAAAGAGAGACGCAGAAGAGAGGAGGAAAAGGATAAGGGAATCCAAATATAATACACGCTACAGAAATATCGCCAAAGAAAAATTACCAAAATATTTAGAAGGGAGGATGAAGTGGAAGAGCAGAAGAATATTGGCAAGATTTAGATGTGGAAACGAGACCAAAGCAAGGGAATACTGGAAAGAAGAGGAGGGGGAAAAAGCTGCAGACTATGTAGAAAGAAAGAAGAAGACCTGAGACATATAATAGAAGAATGTGAAATAACGGCAGGACCAAAGAACATAGGAAAAACGCTAAATGAAACTAGAGAATGTTTGGCAGAACTGAAAGCAATAATAGAGAAGAGAAGGGCAAACGACAGGAAGGAAGCACAGCAAGGAGGCTAAAGCCCAAAGTTGCAATAGTTTTTAGTCATTAGTTGTTAATTTGTAGTTTCTAGCTTTAGTTTCTAGAGATAGGATAATTAAGGGAGTGCAATAGAATAGAGTGGTTAAGAGGGAAGGTAGACATATAAAAAGCGAAATAGACATATGAGATGTAAAACTGAAAGTTCGTCCAAAGCCGAAAGGCACGAACTGAGCAATAATAAATAATAAAAAAATAAATACAAATTTCACACACACGCCGCGATCGTAAATAGTAAATTCTTTTTGAGGGCGATCTTTTCTTTATCGCGAATTTATGTACTTGCTTTATGACGTAGTTTATCTTAAGGTCTTTGTGAAAAATACTTCCACTGACATACCTCAGAGCGGTTGTTACTCTCAAAGCTTCATCTTGAAATCTGTGGATAGTGTGCAAGTTGCTTCCTTGGTCAGAGTTGTATACAATGCATCCATATAAGAAAGTAGCTTTGTATAACAGAATTTTTTTTGTAATATGAGGGAAGATTTGTATCCCAGGGCCTAATACAGACTTACTTTTAAATATAATTATTTTTTCACTATTTATATATTATTTCTCTCCATAAGTTCTTTTTCTAGATACATTCCAAGATATTTAATTGCATCTTTTATAAATATTGTATGTAGATATTTATTGTTCAATTTGATTTGTGGTCACGTAACATATTTTAAAATAAAAGGTGGGCTGATTTTTTTGCACGAATTTTAATTTCTTGTCTATTTCTTTGTTCACACAGCTATCTTGTCCAAAGAATTCTGTAGAAGTTTTGATGGTTCAGAGAGATTTTCGTGGAATGGCAATATCATAGCGCCGTTTGAATATGTAACTGTAAACACATTTTCGCTACAGGGTCAAGAGAGGTCTATAAATACATCTGTGTCACTTTTTATACAGCATTATATTACACGATTCACAGTCACATGGTTCTTTTTAACACGTTTCATTCATAATTACACAATTTTTTAACACATTTCATTTACATTTACTCGATGTTTTTTACTTACTTTTACACAGTTCTAAAAAAACACACGTACGAATATTTCAAATCTTATTTTTCTTAAATATAATTTATATTTTCATGAAATAAAATATTTTTAGTGAATGTATTTTTATATTTTAAATTACTTTTTGTATAGTATGTGTTAATTAGTTTGGTACAGGTTTTATACTTTCTTACAAATCAATTTTTACACAGCATATACGATTGCTATACGATTTTGTTTGCATAGTGCGCGTTTACCATATAAGAAGAAAGCCAGGTTTATCTGATATAACATGGAGACTCGAACGCTTTCTTGAGAAACACTGGCTAGTATGGGACTTATCTTGAAGAAACTGCCATTTTGTTTAACGTGAAAATATTTCTCGTTTAAATACAACTTCTGTAGAATATAATAATTGCGTGGCAATTCTTGGTTGAGTTTGTATAATTAGCTTGTATGCGATACTCTATCGATTGCTTGACCTGCTTGCTTTCCAGTAGTGTTCCCAGAATCCAAATCGATATCGCAGTATCAAACAATTTTCTTTTATTATTTGTTTTACTTATTTTAAAAATAACTTCTCAGATAATTTTGACAGGGTGGCTATAAATAATTGAGTAAGAAATCGATTTATAAGAAAGTAGTGAGATATTTATCTAAGTTTGGAATAAGGATGATTTCAGCAAATTTCCATCGTATTGGAAATTATTGATTTCTAATTATTCGATTATTTATTTGCTTATTGTGATTATGCACTGGTTTTTGGTAATTCTGTTAAAATTTTGTCAGTTATTAAATTATATTCAGATGCTTTTTCCTTCATTTAGTAATTCCATCTCTTTTGTTACTTTGAAACTGAAATGTTGAGCATATTTACTAAGTTACGATGAGGTGTTTGGGTAATCTATAATGGCATTACTCTCGTTACCAGATGTCAAATCGTCATCGGATTAAAAGACTTTAGATAAGTGTATCGTGAAAATTTTAGCTAAAATTCTAATCTTCTTTAGCCTACGAATTATTTTCCTCTCTTACAGATAGGATAGTCACTAGTTAGTTTTTGTGGTGTGCAAAAATAAGCGTGTTTTATTTCCTACAATTGATAAAGTTAATATAATATTGTTATATATTAACGAATCTAAGACGAATCTAATAAGAGATCAAAGCTGGAATAAAAGTTAATATAATTTAAGGAGTCACCCTTTGTAATATAAAAGTCCAAGAAAGTTTCTACTGAATTAGTTGGCCAACAAAGTAGATTTTATCTAGTTGTATCCTCTTGATAACATTGTTTTATGGAGTGTATCACCTTTGTAGTTGATGAGTCTTGAACTCCATTGCGGATATTTTGCATTGCAGTTTTCTCCTGCTATAAATCTCTCATTTAACATATTTAAACATGTTCGGTATCGTGGGAGATAATATACCGCAGCTATGAACAGTGAAGCTCTTAAGTTCTTTATTTTGATGTTCGTGATTCGATTATTTATTTCACGGTGTGACATCTTTCCATTAATCCCTCAAGCGATTATGTAGCATATATACGTCAGTATCAAAGTCAATTCACAGCGGAAATGACGGATATAATCAGATTATGAAAATTATTGTGTATGTCACTGTTTATGTCAGATATGTTAACTTATGAGACTTTGCTGTATTATACTTTGAAATATCTCATCCTACTGGCCTACTTGTTCAAATTTATCTTCTTTTGTTCAATGGTAAATTCAATTCTCAAGATAGTGTATTGGTTACGAAGTACATATACGCTAGTAGCGGGAAATTCATGCTAGTATGGAAAACACTTTCAGTGATAAACTATGACGCCAATGGGATTAATAATCGTAGCAGTACCTTAAAATGAGTGGTTCCGTCTGAATGTAGCATGGAATATATTTTGTAGTTAAAGATATTGGAGTAGTTTTTATTTGTAAAATATGTTTTTAGAAATAGGAGCATATACATTTTCTTTTGCTGTCTTAAATCGTTTGCGTTTCATATGATTATTTCTAAGTCGCAATCCATTGTTATTATTTTTCGGTAACGGTCGTTAACGCATTTATGATTATATTGCTTTGATTCATGAACTGGTTAAACAGTGTTTTCAATTTGTGTAAAAATTGGTTCAGAATTGAGTTATTATTAATATAGTTATTATTATCTACTTTTTCTGTGTTAACTTCTCTGGTCTAAACATAATTTTTCTCTTATTTCTTACTTCTGATAATTTTTGTGTCTCTATCTAATTTACCTCGTGGTTTGTAGATTTCTGTATTCGTGTACCCTTTGTAATTTGCGAAATGAGGGCATAATGTACATTTTTCTAAAATGTCTCTTGATGTATTGCATGTGTTGAACCTAGAGGATAATTTTTTGTTCATAGTAGACAATAATATGGTTTTGTACAGTATCTCGTGATCCATATTTTTGACAACAAACATCTCTCTGTAATATTGCGACAGTAAATATTAGTGAAGAAGATGGGTGTCCTCTTTTTTAACATTTTGACTTAGTCATATCCCGGTATTCGAGTATTATAGTTCGATTTCGCACTTGCGTTCGCTTATTGCCGTTATTCGCTCACTTATATTTATACACAAAATGACTATTTGACTATTTGAACTATTTGAACGCGACTTTCTCAAAGAATAATTGGGAAAATTAACTGAAATGAATTCAGGAAGGGATTAGATAGTCAGATAAATTCCAACAGCAGATTTAAAGCAATAGAAAATATTGAGGAGGCAGAAGATAGTTCAAACAGTGACAGTACTTTCTATATCGCCAATGAAATGCAGAATGAATAAGAAATGGAGGAAATACCGACATTTAGAACGATATACGACAGATAAGTGAAAAAGTTACTCAAGGATTATAACAATAACACAATCGAAACGTACATAATAAGCCTAGAAACCACCAAAGGTACAAATTATAATCTGTGGAAGATAGTAAAAAAACATTATAAAACTGAAGGAGACTAATGTTCCATAGAGAACGCACAACGCGAAACAGAACTAGCCAAGAATACTTACAATACAAACAATAAAGTAAAAGATACAAAACAAAAACTGAAACCTCTAGAGAAATTCAGAACAAATTAGAAAAAAATCAAAGTGTTAATAAGAAATCTTAACCTGAAAAAGATTTCAAGGTCTAATTATTTGAAAAATCCTAAAAGACATGATATTAAAATCAATTAAGCACATTACAATATTGTTCAATGCAATCATGAGATTCTAAGACTTTGTATTAGTTTGAAAATATGCAAGAATTGTTCTACTACTTACCAGAGAAACCAGTATAAACATCCACTTTATACAGACCGAGGTTATTACTCTCAAAAGGAGAACTACCAAAATATCAGATAAACATGTTGCGTGGCTACGTAATGTTAACATTACGTTAACATTATCACGTTAACGTTCACAGACAATACCACAATTTACGATATCAATAATAATTTCAATCTAACATAAAATCTAACATACAACTATAATATAACCCCCCATTTTTAAGCCGAAAGGTATAAAATAAACTTAATTACAACTTTGCCATATAACTATCATATTTATAAATGGTACAAAAGACACCGAAACCAATTAAAAAAACTTATTTGTTGGATAGCACAGACAGATATTTAGAAATTATATTACATAAAATAAAATAAACTCCTCCAATAATTCGTATAAGAAGAAACAGCAACAGTTATAAATCTACTGCATTGATTAAATAAAAGAAAATCAAAATCAAAATTTAGAAACAAATACAGAATATGCAAAATAAGTCAATAAAACTTTTTATGTAAAATAACTTGTTATCCTTATACCGAAAACTGTTTCAGACAAAATATATTGTATTTGATAAAGTTCATAAACTCAAATGGGCATTTTTATAAGAAATTGGATGAGAAATCGAGTGGCTTAGATCCAGTGATCGCGGTGGCGATAACATAGATCGCTACACGAATTCCTTATGGTCATCGCGATCATCGGATCTAACACCATTCGATTTCCTTTTATGAAAATATTTAAAGACAAAATGTATTCTCATCCTGCTAGTAGTGTACAAGCCACCTAACAACGTATTTTGCTACAATTACCAAAAATTATAGAGAAAGACATAACTGAAGCGTCAGCTAAAGTAAAGAAAAGTGGGCGTAAAGATGCATAAACTCCAATGCAGGATCGGTCGAACATTTGTTATTGCGTAAATATCACATTTGCAGATATATTGAAATAATTTAGCGAACTCTTAACCACAGTAAGTTTTGAATTAATAGGTCTAGGGTACTAAGTACCTTAGTACGTTTTTTTAAAAATATAAAACTGCATCGACTATGTCAATCAAAGGTATAGAATTCTGTTTAAAAGAAAATGCAATTGCATTTTTTAAGCATATCAATACGTAAAAGTGTAATAAATTATTTCCGCATTATGTATCATTAGATACTATTTAATATTGACTCGAAATATGTTTACCCATTTCTAACCATTTGAAAGATACATCTGTCCAGTTACGTGAGACACGCTATACATGTATTTTAAACCTGTGAGTGTGTGTGTTTGTATCCCAATACTTTTCTAAGCGATGCGATGTTAAAATGAATCACAAAATAACAAGATTTTTATGCAATAGCTTTATCGACACATTGTGTATATAATAATGGTTGGGCTATTATGGACATATCCTTCAATTCTATAGGATACAACCATCAAAAGCAATCTGAAGAAAATTAAAACAGTATAATCCAAACTACTGAAGATGATACTTACGACACTGCACCATGGTATATAGGTAATAACAACGTAGCGAATACTTTATGCGACTTAACAATCGTATAAACCCTTAAAAGTATCAACGAAAGACACTGGATCAGAATGAAACCTTCGCCAAATCCTAACGATAGAAATTGCATGATACACCACCATCTAAAATCACTAAATGCCTATCCTAGGCTAAAAGTTACACCCATTACAGAATCATTCAAAAACCCCGCTACTGGAATATTCGTGAAGGCGACAGTAATACGGATCAATGCATCAATGGAAAAAATGAAATGGAATGAATAATTGAAATAAACAAATGATTGTAAAGTTTAACTTAAACTTATTATAGTTATGTTATATCAATAAAGAAACTCTCTACATTACTGAAACTAATGTACATACTAATTATTAAATCTAATGTAATGTAAAACACTTTTAGTATATACAAAGTTTGCGTAACTAAATTTGAAATAATGAAAACGTATCATTTGTTATAATTAGCGCGCAGTGGTTAAAAAAAGTATTTGCAGATCATTGCATTCATTATAGCATTTACAAATTAATTAATTAAATCTACATGCTTGAAAATAAAACATAGGATTTAATAACAGATGCTTTATTGGAATAAAAATTTGAACAAGATGTGAGCATTTTCTGATATGATAACACAACTCCCGAAAAATGATTTATAAGTTGATCATACAATCCGTGGTTAATTGTGGCTAATGGGCTTGTAGCGCATAAAGCTGGCTAGCAGAATATATATTTCATAAGCAATGCCGTATCTCGTACAAAGATTTTTAATTGATCAACTAGGTAAATATTTTATTCCAAAAGAACACGATTTATGTCCGAAAACCTCAATTTTAATTAATGTGATGATTAGTAAAGATAAAAATTAGCAAAAATCTTGACATGTTTCTAATACCTCGATAGAATCGCCATCTACCAATAAAACTTTTGTTAACGACCAAGTCGATACTTTCGATAGACTGTCCGTATAAATAAATAACACAAACCTGTTGCTTTGAACCTGACGAGAGTCAGGTTTCGGTGATGGGCCACGACCAGAAAGATGTATATCGGTATAAGATTTAAAAGTAACGAGTCTGTTAACCCCTCGCAGTTCGCTTGCTATTGAAGAGACGCTAAATAGAGAGAGGTCAGTCGTAACACTTTCATGACTCGGCGATCGTAACATTCGTGACGTCACTTGAAGTGCTGGACATTGTGTATCTGTTAAACTATTACAGCATTGTATAGTAGTAGCCGGCGGTATTGGTGATGCCGGTTTTGCTTTACTTTCAGACATTTTCGTATCTCTCAACGTTTTCAACTATTAGAGAACTATTATTTTTTCATAAAATATGAAAAATTGTATGTTATTGTATTCATTATTTATCATCATACTTAATTCAATGTAACAGTTTTTCATAATTAATGAATTTTTGCTAATTTTCAGTTAATGTTAACGGAATGAAGTTTTTTATCAACTCGAAGTTCTTAAAATTTCGTCAAAATATATATCTTCATTACTTTCGAAGTAATCAATTATATTCTTAAAATCTGACATTGAATGATAACTTTCAAAGATTTATTAATGTAATTTTAAATAGTTTCACAAAATTATGGCAGCTAATATTATATCGTATTAAAACACTAAATAAATTAATTTTATATACATTCGAATACTGCATTTGAACAGCAATCAAATTATTTAAAATTTATTTAAAAATAACTTGCAGTTTAGCAATTAAACTGACAGAAATTCAATAAACAAGTATTTTCTATTGCAATTAAGTTTGTTGTATACCAGATGACAATAACATTCTTACGCCCGCTTTCATATATATTTGTTTTTATTACTTTTCGTTTATATCTCTGTAAAATCAAGAATTTTGTTGCTGTTCCAAATTCATTACTGCGGACACGAGGATGATTGTAATATATACTTCTATACCTTTTAATTGTATTCATTAGAATATGGCAATATTCCCATATTAATTCCGTACTGTAACTTGTCTAGTGTTTTATCAGTCACCAAAAACCCTGAAAAAAAATTATATATGTTATCGCTATATAATTATATTGTCCTTAATATAGTATTATTAGTAGTAATGTATATATATACACACATATGGTAGTAGTTTACTTTTTGTAGTTAGACTATTGTAGTTGCCTAATAAAATCTTTGTCATGCCACAAGATTATTTGTCATGACTTTGGACGGTGATTCTACACCCCCGAATTAATAGAAATTTGTTAAATAAGTAGATCGCAAAATTGCCCTTTAGTATGATTTTCAAGATCAAAATTTTTTTTTTTATATCATACTATCACGAGGAGCCACGTATCAAAAATGACTCCTCTTAAAAAAAAATGTTTAAAGTTCCGTTAATTCTTAAATTGATCTTATTTATTATATTGTGGTAATATATTACAGATAAAAGATAATATGAGCACCAAAATAAATAAACTAAAATTGATATATACTAAAAGAAAATAAATAAACAAAATAAATAATATAATAATATAGTATCATATAACATAATGGGTATGATGATAAACAATAAAGGTTAGAAAGCGTGCCATTGATGAAGCCGGTGGGAACTATCCTTTATTACGTGGTATAATATCAACAATCACCAAGAATTAATAGAACTCTGCAGCATCGAGGAGAAGTTCCAGATCATCGCGATTCCCAAAGAGTTCAATGGTTGACAGTTGTTACAGCAATTCTTCATTCCATAGATCTCGTGCTCATTGGCGTAAAAAAAGCAAATTTTTACGTGTGTATTCATTGATGTATATGCGAAGAATAGCTCGTCGAATAAGTATCCTTTACACGGCGCAGTGAGCAAAATAATATGTGATGAAGATGAACATCCTTACAAGGTTCACCGTGTGCAAGAACTTCATAGAATGAACTGTTATTACATAGGTTTGGGTTTTGATATTTAATTGATTTACACGGATTAGTTTTGTATGCTCTGTATTTCACCACCTTGTACAATCATTACAACACACCGGATACTCAGATGAAAAAAACGTGGCGGACGGGGAAAAACAGAAGAGAACCGCAAGCAGTTGTACCAACTTTGGATATAGAAACTAGTGATCATACTAACATGACATTTATCTCAACATGAACTATATCGCTCAACGAAAATTTTATCGTTGAATGCGATTAATTTAAAAGATGTTATACTATTAAAATGATTCGAACGCAACCCATGATGTCTTAAAGATATCCTGTTCACGGATGAGAGCAGATCTTCCACAGCAACATTCTCAATCATCAGAATGCCAAATTTGGACGTATAGTAATCCTCACATTATGACACAGAGATTTAGTTAGAACCGCTTGATATGTCTGATTTATTCCACATCTGAATCTGCATTTTTTCCATATAAATAAAGACTATTTGAAAGTTAAAGTGATAGATGTTATACGTTCACAAGTAAGTAGATATTAGCATTGACCTTATTTTGTGCTACTTCTGATTTCAAAATGTGAATAAAATCAATTTCAGAATTAATGAATCTTTCAACATTTTTTTCTAAGAAAACCGGTCATTTGTGACCCATGGTTCTTCTGAGATTTTTGTTTCCCGTGATGAATGCTATATGATGCCATAGAAAAAATTTTGAAAAATCTTCTGAAATCAATCATATATATCAATTCAATCAATCATATTTAAGGTCAATTTAGTGGTCCATTTTTTAAACAGATCTCCACATATTTGAAGATGTAGAATCACCTTCCAAAACGATAATAAATAATTTTTGAATAGCCTGTACATGTATGATTTTGAACTCCATAATTAAAACAAAAGAAAACAAAACGGTAGTATCTTATGATATGCTATTAGTAATCGCGTTTAGGATTCCAATAGTTCAATGAGAGAGTGAAAGAGAGAGAGAGCGCGAAAGAGGGAGGGAGGGAGGGAGAGAGAGAGAGAGAGAGATTTCATACAGACTCCAACGCACCCCAAAATATCTTTTACTGCCCCCTTATTCTCCGTTGCTAGAAAGTTGATGTTACTTTTGTTTGGGATAGACTTCAGTCCGAATGTTTCGTATTGCAGCCAGTAAATTAAGACATGTTTTACTTCCAATTCGTTAGAAATACACATTAGGTTGCTATTTATTAGAGCAGGGTGTCCGGTTTTAATTTATAAATGCGATATACCGATAAGCTATCTGCTGTATCAAAAAAATGTTCAAACAACAATCGAATGATGTCGAGTAGATTCATGCAAAAATTATAATTCCACTTAAGAGAACATATGTCACCTTTATATGATCTCTACGCGTTCATCTACAGAAAAACTAATTACTAACACATTATGATCCCTCAAAACCATTCAATTCCTCTTTGAATGTCTTTTTTATACAGCAGGTAGTTTAGCAATAACTCGTAATTATAAATTACAATCAATTCATACAAACCAAAGCCTCTTGGATTATTTTGTTATCCAACGCAATGTGCCTATGAGTCTTAATTGCACAAGCATTTTTCTGTACGTTATTGATGCTTCAAACTTAAGTATTCAATTTTCTCTCCTTACGTCAAGTCCGCTATTCTGCTACACAGAGTATTTCATGTAAAATAGGTCACCTAAACTCCTTCGTTACTTGTTATAATACGAGATATGTATTTACGTATTTTACGTAACTTTAATAAACTTGCGTAATTTAATTGATTTTAAGAGGCAAATCAAACAGAAAAAACTTTTCTTAGCAAATATAATTTTTTAATAGCTTTTTCAAAGTCACCTATGTTTTTTGAGGATATACACATAATTTCTTCTGTTGTATGTTATAGTCAACATTACTTTACATTCATCGATGTATGATATCAGCTTAAAATGTCCTTGAAGTCACAAATTTTAAGATTAGTGTCGAACATTACATTACATTCAACGAGATTCTAGGTTTCAACCACGACAAAAGTCAATTTAAGATTGAAAATAAACACATTTATTATTGCTACGCAGATAATCAAGGATTTACTTTCGGTACATTCACAAACGATAATGCATTACTCGAAGGAGGCAAAAATTGAAATCATTTTCATTTATAATAAAACTCAACAATATCTAAGAGAAACTTACAGAGTTACAAAGAAAGATTTCCAATAGGTAATTGTCCATCGCATTCTATATACACAAATATTATTAAAACATTTCGTGAAAATGGTAGTATTGGTGACAAACATGAGGAACGTAAGACTATTACCCATGAAACAAATCATTAAAGTTCATCAAAAACTGCGTGTCAATATAAGCTAACCTCTCCTTTCCGTAAGGAAAGAAAAAAGCACATCGCATACTTATCAGCCCTCGGCCCGTACCCGTCAGTTATGTAGGGCTGGCGAGTTGTCATTTGCCGATTCATTAAAAACCCCTCCTCGTATCCGCTATAAGCGGCATCCATCCACTCTTGGTACGATTGCTATACTTGAAGAGTAGTATAAGGCGACCTAGAATCTCACTGAAAATAAATTCTATAGTAATTTTAAAATTTTAGAATTACTTCAAGGTTATACTATCACACATGAATAATATGTACAACAGTGTTAGCTGTAACATACAGCAACAAAAATTATATGTATTATTACAGATTAAGAAAATATTTAACTGGCCTATTTTACACAAAATACCCCGTATGTGACGCTATAGATCAGCGACGCTTTAAGTGAGTATTTTTTAATTTTGTCCATAATTTGATACTGTTATAAATTAGATATCTACACATATTCTGCCATATTCTGCGAATAACTCTTTCAGGCTCGAGCTCAAGCTTCCTTTTTGGTTCAATCCTTCCACCAAATTGACCAGCAATTGATAGCAAGGCTTTGAGAAGTGTTTCCCTTTCACCGAAAAGATTTTAGCAGTAGTTATTGCTCGCTTCACAATTTTCCTTTCTAATCTAGTTTTTCCTACTTTCCTTTGTAGCATGTAGTCTGGAGTGTATCATAAAACACTTAGCAAATTTTCCAGAAAGCTGTTTTGTGTTTCTTCGACTCCCTTTTCCTAATCTGTAGGTCAACATCGCTATAGTTACTGATTCAAGTAACTTATTCTATTCTGGGTTTCCCAATTATTATTTTTAACCGCCACTAGTGGTTTCCACATTATTCTTAAAGATATTTTTGCACTACTAACAAAATGTTTAGACGCCTCAAAAGTATGTCCAGTGTGAATGGGACTTCTGTATTTTCATTATGTCTATTGTGCCTTTTTTGTACTTGATTTTTCTCCTTTTTTTGTTTTCTTAGTTATTTTATATATCAGCATTTTCGTTTTTATATATACAGGGTGAAAAAAAAGAAAGGACTCATAATTGCTAGAGTAGATAGTGCTCGCCAAATGATGAAAAAAGGTTCCAACAAACATGGACTAAAAAATTAATAGTTTCAAAGTTATAAACAATTTTTTGTTTCGGTTAAAGTGACTGACTTTCTCGCTTCGAGAGTTATCGTACTGTATGGAAACAATGGATTATTTGCCTTAATACTAAATGATAGAGAAATGATTGGAATGTTCAGGGATCAAGAACAAGTCTCTAATACGAAGGTATTAAGCGTGTAGTGAAAGGGAGAGAGGGACATGTAGAAACCTCCTGTAATCAGGAAAAGAAGAAAAATAGGGAAGATATCCATTGTTTCTATGCAGTAGGATAGTTCTCGAAGCAATAACATATTCGGTTTTATTGCCCAATCACTCCACACGTCGATAAAACCGAATGTCGAAAGCGATCGAATCGGTGATTATTATATACAGACATATGAAATGTGTGCAAGTATGTACTACTAAACAAACAATTGAGGCGCCAAATGAACAATTCATCGTAATGTGAATAAGCTGTTTATAGTAACAGTTATTACACACCACACTGAATACCATTAATTCATATGTCTGGAAGTTGATCATACGTTGAAAATATTGAAATGTATACACGCTACTTTCAATTACCAATTCGTCAGAAAGCTGCATCGTCTAAACTAGTCATAAGAGTTTTATTTTTTTTTTTTTTTTATTTAATATTTCACATTCACAATTTGTCCAATTTGGACATTTGGTAAAATTTTTTAGCTGTTTGATTATCATGTGGGTGGCTACCCCCAGTGGGGAACCATCTTCGTGTTTGTTAAGATATATTCGTGGTTGTTAGGTTATATCCTTTATGAGATCTGCTGGGTGTTACCTTTTTAGTCTTCTTTCTATGCCTGATGTGTTGATCGTTTCCGCTGCCAGCCGGTTCGGGTGCGTTGCTATTCTTTCTCTGTACCTTCTTGCGAATCTGCTAATCTCTTCCTTGACTGTTGGTATTCCAAGGTCTTTCCGTATGTCCTCATTTCTAATGTACCATGGGGCGTTTACTATTGTTCTAAGAATTTTAGCTTGGATTCTCTCTATTTTGCTTATATGGCTCATTACTGCTGTTCCCCATAGTGCTATTCCGTACGTTCAGATTGATTTTATGACCATTTTATATATTTTTAGTTTGTTTTCTATGCTTAGTTTGGATTTTCGACTTGTTAACCAATGCATTTGTCTCCTTGCTATCTGTATTTTGTCTATTATTGATTTAATATGCAGTTTTCATGAGAATCGTGTATCTAAGTGGAGTCCTAGGTATTTGACTTGTCTTGTTTGTATTATGTGCGTGCCGTTCAATATAATGTTTAGTGGTATCTGTTTTCGCAGTATGAATGTAATGTGGTCGCATTTATCGGGGTTTGCTTTAATTTGTTTAACTTGAAGCCACTTTTCTGTTTTTGTAGTATGGTCTTGTAGTAATGTGACTGCTGTTGCAGGGTCAGTGTGCCTGACTAGTAACGCTGTGTCGTCCGCGAATGTCAGTATCTTGCTATTGGTAGTTGGTATCTTGGCCGTGTATAGTGTGTATAGTATTGGTCCTAAGACGCTTCCTTGCAGAACCCCTGCCTTGATGTCTTTAACTTCAGAGTATGTGTCTTTAATTTTTACTACAAAGGTTCTGCTGCTTAAGTAAGATTTTATCAAATGGTATACCTGCTCCGGGAATTGTTTTCTGATTGATTGAAGTAGGTTTTCGTGGTTTATTTTGTCAAATGCTTTCTCGATGTCCGTAAAGAGAGCTGCGCAGTATTGTTTGTTTTCTAGTGCTCAGTATTGTTTGTTTTCTAATGCTAGAATTATTTCATTTGTAAGTCTGTGCATGTGCTCTATCGTGGAGTGTTTGTTTCTGAATCCAAATTGGTGATCTGGTATTAATTTTTCCTTCTCTATTATTGGTTTTAAGCGGGCGTAAATTATTTTTTCTAATATTTTGGAAAACACAGGAAGTAGTGATATTGGTCTGTAAGATGCTAGAAGTAGTGACATTGGTCTGTAAGATGCTGTTTGGTGTGGGTCTTTCCCTGGTTTGGGTAACATTATGATCTGTGCTAGTTTCCATAGTTTAGGATAGTATTGGATTCTTAATATTGCATTGTAAATTATTGTGATTAGTCGTATCGCTTTTGGAGGAAGGTTTTTCAAGATTTTACCATTGTTCAGGTCCATTCCTGCTGCTTTATTGTTTTTTGTTTTCTCAATTATGTTTCTAATTTCTTGTGCTGTTGTTTTAGGTATGATGTAGTGTTTGTCAGTTGAGGTACTAGTGGTTAACGCATCCTCGTCGGTATGACAATTGTGGTTGCTGTTATTGATATTATGTGGTGTAAACGTGTTGTTTAGGTGGTTGGAAAATTCTTCAGCTTGTTCTTCGTTGCTTCTTGCCCATGTGTTATCTGCTTTTCTGATTGTTGGGACTAGTTTTATTGGCTTCTTTATTTTTTTTTATGGCTTTCCAAAGGGAGTAGTTGGAGTTCTCGTGTGCAGATAGTGACTCTATGAATTTTGTGATCTCGTTGTTGTTGTGTTCTTTTATTTTGTTTTTTATTTCCTTTGCGATTTTATTTAGGTGTTTTTTGTTTTCTTTTGATCTATGTTTTTGCCATTTTGCTTTCGCTTTTCTTTTTCCTCTGATTTTTTCAAGTATGTCTGGTGGAATTATTTTTGTATGTCCCTTGGTTGTTTTCAGGTATAGTGGTTGCCCATGCTGCTTCTTAGTTTCTGTGAATGTTGTTACTGCTTGATCGATGTGTTCAGGTGTTTTCAGTGGGATGTTGCAGCTGATTTTGCTCTCTATTATTTCTTTGAATATTTGCCATTTGGTGGTTTTATTGCATAGCTTCTCTGTGTTGCTGTAAAGTATTGGTTTGTTTCTATATGTAATTATTACGGGCGTATGGTCGGAGGTAAGCTCGAGGCTGGGTACTATGTTTAGTTTATTTGCGTTTGGTCCCTTTGTAACTGCAAAGCCTAGCAGGTCAGGTATATTGCTCAGGTCTGTCGGCCAGTATGTCGGTCTTCTTGTGGATAATATATTGAGGTTATTGTTTCTAATGTATTTTTCCAAGGTTCTACCTCGAGGTGTAATGATTCTTGATCCCCATAGTGCGTGCTTTGAATTGTAGTCTCCCGCTGCAATATACTTGTCACCTAAATGTTAAAAGTACTCTTCCCACATTTGTGATGTAATTTTGTGTCGCAGTGGTACATATACTGCTGACAACTATAAATGGTTGCTGCTAGTTTGTACTGTAACGGTGGTTGCTTGAATATATTCCTTACTAACTTGGCTGTGTAAATGGTGTTTAATGTCGTTTCTTATTATGCTTTTCCTGAGGGATGCTTGGTATCATATATGGTGTAGTATGGTATTTTTATATAACTTTTTATAATGAAGTGTGTTTCTGAAACAAGTAGTATATCGATATTATTGTTATATAGGAATGTTTTTCTGAAACAAGTAGTATATCGATATTATTGTTATATGGAAATGTTTTAGTTTCTAGGGCCCTTTGTTGTAGGCCGTTAGAGTTCCAGGCTGCTATTTTAAGCGTGTCCATTTTTATTTTTTGCTTAGCATATTTGTAAGTAGTTGTAGTATGAGTGTTATTTGTTGCGTTTTCTGTCTAAGGACTGTGTTTTGTTCGCTTATCATTTTTGTTAGCATTTCCGTGTTTTTGATGGATTGCTTTAACAGTTCTTTGATTTCTGTAGCGTCGTTGATGTTATTGTTCTGGTTTTGATTATCTAATGGTGTTGATTGTTTGGCTACTTGCGCGTAGCTTCGGCTACCAAAGTTGTTGGTATTATTATGGTTGATGTTCATTACATGCTGTACGTTTGTTGATGTCTCAGTTACTGTGCTGTCCTGTTGTGTGTGAGAGTTATTGTATGTCCTGTTACGAAGCGGAGGAAACAGTTTACATTGAAGTTGTTTTCTGACTAAACAGCCTTTGTAGCTAGCTGGGTGGTTTCCACTGCAGTTGTAACATTTTACATCATTTATTTTTCTCGTGTGTGGGCAGTTCATTGTTAGGTGCATTTCTGCGCATTTGACACACGCCGGGTTTCTGTTGCAGCAATTTTTTGTGTGTCCATATTGTTGACACCGCATACATTGCGGTATGTCTTTTTTGTGTCTGGGTGGCTCGACTGTAATTATTGTGTTTAGAACTTCTTTAATTTCGAAAATTATTTTTAGGTTCAAGTTCTATTAAAAATAGCGGTAATGGTTGTTTAGTATCAAATCTGGTTATGTTATTTATTGTTCTTACCTGATGTCCGATTTTGGCTAATTCCTCGCATATGTTACTTGTATTTGTCTTTGGGTGTAATCCTCTGATTACTGTTTTGTAACTTTTATCAGTTTTGAGTTGGTAAGTATAATACCCAGCGTTTTTTTCTTTTAGTGCTTTTGTCACTTTTCTAAAAATTTTTGGAGTATTAATTTGTACTTTTACCTCATCCAATTTAAGTTGTTTATATGGTGTAATTTTCTTTTCCTGCCGTGCTGTTTAGCAGCTCAATGAGGAGGTCTATTATTTTAGCATCTATGTAGATTGGGGGTGGTTTGGCAATGTGTGTTATTGGTTTTTCAGGTGGGTCTGAATCCTTCTCTTCTGGCAGTGAGCTGAAGGAGTTTTGAAGAGGAATTTCTTGTAGCCTGTTTTATCTATGTTACGACCGTTCGCGGAGAGACGCGGTCGCGGGGAAAACGCGTCAGCGAGAGGCGTAAATTCTCGCTACGATTCGGTGAATCGACGCCGCGAAGTAGTCTTTCCCCTGTTTCGGTTAAGATAACAGAGGTGGTTGAATGAATACGACACGGAGGAAAGCTAAGGATGGGTGTGTCTAGCGCACGGGACCATCGGATTTGTTGGTGCCGATGTTAGTTAAGAGAGTGAGGGAATAGCCTTCGTTGCTAATTGGTCAAACGAAGAGTCTTAACCGCCCTCGAGAGAAAGTGGTTAGTGGGAGGAAAGTTGCAGCGTACGTGAGAAAAACTAACTTTCCCTTGTCACGCCGTGGTAGACGATAGTCTTTGGAAATTCTTCGGAAACAGACGTTTTTTTGGTTTGAAGGACCTTTTCTAGGAAATCTATGAGATTTATGGAAGGTACTTGAAACTATGGAGGATACGCTGCGAGTATCCAAAGACATCTGGTTGCCATATTGCCCGCGGTGTGTGGCCTGGGCTAGGTAGAGTGTTACGCGACGTAACACCATTGTTGCCTTTCTGTTTCTATAGCCCTCCTAACATTTGTGTTTGAAGTTATTTTTCGTTTTTTGCTGGGAGTTACAGTCCTCCAGCTTTCGTTCTGATGTGATAGATCATTGTTGATATTATTCTTTTCATCATTATTTTGTGTAATTTCCATTTCTATTTCATTTATAACTGAGCAATCCTGATCTTCGTTTGTTGATTTATTTGGATTAGTTTTATCTACAGCTCTGTTTATAGAATATGTTTCACCTTTATTTAGAATTTTTATTGGTGATATTTTTTGCATGTTTTTCATCATTTAGCGATTGGTTCTATTATGAGTCACTTTGTTTTCCCACTTGTCGCACTTGCAGAAGCACTGATTCACACGTCCGTATAGCTCGACTGCTCGGGCAGAACTCTAGTCATAAGAGTTTGCACAATTCTTTTAGATCATTATAAGTGTCCAGTTCTTGCATTATCATATTTTCTTGATACTCAATTATTTTCTTATTATACCATATCATTGTGTCTTCTATCCAGATTCTGATATCTCTTATCACTTGTTCATTATTTGTTAATCTCAAGGATAGTCTTATTGGTAGATATGTTATTAAATGTTCTCCAAATTTGTTATACTTGTTCATATTAAATTTATACAACTTACGCCTCTGCTGTTCCAGCAGATGTACTAACTATTGTCGGACAAGAATGTTTTCTTCAAGTCAAGTTTTTCTTTCTACGTGTTGACATTCACATTGAAGAGGTGAAAACAGTTTCCAAAGTTGAAAATTAGAAACAGATATCATGGAATATCTTCAGAATTTAGGTTATATTAAAATTTTCAGAATTGCTAATATATACTAATTGTAAGCAAGACTTGTTTTCTATTTACTGCTACCGCTTTATACATGTATTGAAATGTACTTTATCCAATAGTTGAAATTTTTAGTTTCCTTCTATGAAAAGAATTCATTTTCATATAATTCTGGTTAAACTAACATAACTGTTCTTCATTTTCTTTCAATTTTCTTCAAAGGAATGACTGGTTTTTAAAAAATATGTGATAATAGAATATTTTTATAGTTATTGATTTGTTACACTCTTACAGAAAGAATTCTATGCCATGTAGTACATCTTTGGCATTATTAGATGGATTCATCTGGGACTATGATCGACCTAAAGGAGGGTTGACACATTTATAAAATTGTAGAACCAGTCATTTTGACTGCTGTGGCATTTCTAACATTAACATCTAGCGATTTAGCGATCGATCCGGAATTTTCCTGATAACTGATATCATCATATTGATTAATGATACGCAGTAAAAATTTAAAAAACATATGGCAAATTGTAGAAAACGAGGAAACTGGTTAATTGGGGTTAGATAAACAGATTGCAGGATCCTTTTACACTTTGACAAGTACCTTTGACCGGTATTGGTATAAGTAGCCTTGATACAAAATTATTTCGAGTTTGAATACATAAAAAACAAAATAAAATTCATTTTATTATTCTTTTAGTTATCGTTGCGAAAGACATTACATCATTGCGGAAAAATATAACATGAAGTAGGAATTTTAAAATGAAACTGTAAAGCCAGTCAATTTGACTGGTGTGGTAGTTCTACTGTTAATTAGCAGTCATATTTCTTTCAAAGTAAGCATACTGTCGTTCACAAAATCTTGTGAAAATAATATGACATGAAAAATATTTTACAAGATAAGTTATCATATATTAAATATTAATTAAATATATGAAATATATTAAATATTAATATAGTTATCGCACATTATACGTTATTTTCTTGCATAGTTGTGTTAAACATTGCAACATTGATCACTGCTTGTATTTGTTATATAAAGAGCTAATAAAATCAGACTATACAGGATGTTCCGTGATAAGTACAGAATGATATAACTACTGAAGGCAGGTGATAGGATAAAAATGTACGGAAACTTTTATTGTTTGTTTTTATCAAGAATGTCGATGTCGAAGAAATTTTTCCCTACAACTTTTCAAGGTTATACTAAAATCCTTTATTCTTTAAAATGGAACTATACATATTTTATGCGCCGTATGATGCATTTTTTGAACATCCAACATCGTATATCAATAGTAATTTGCAATCACTTAGATTATAATCGAAATAATTACCAATCTTGATAATTGTCAGTTAAACTTGAAAGTGAAAACAAAAAATTAAACTTAAAAAATAATTAATGCTTTCAGGCTTAAAAACGAAAATCTTTGAATTTTCAAAGTCAATGAATATTTATTCTTTACATAAACAAACTAGTTCTTCAAATCTTGCGTCTTTTATCGTAAATTAAAATAAATAAATTGTACATTATTTTCTAACAGTCAAGATTGAGGTTACTTTATCTAAACAAGGCAAGCCATTTATTAAGTATCTATGTAGTGTAAATACAATCGAGACACACTTTTATCAAGGCCCTGAATACTTCTCTCAGTTCTCTCTGTTATATTGTTTGACAGAGGCCTGAGACCAGAGAACTGAGAATTTTGAGGTTAAATGATAAAAATTCTCAAGTGAATTACTATTCTAATATTAATTCTAATATAAAAAAAATTAGATGCCAATTTTATATTTGCGTTGCATTAAACAAAAGTTAATAAAAATTAAAAACTTGGAATATAATACGACTACAATTTTAACTAATCAAAAATGGCCACTTACACATTACAAAAAATAAGAAGTACACTAAGTTCACTTGATTACTTTTGACTTGCTTCACGTGATTCCTTTCTCAATGCTATAGATATGGTCTTTTAGAAATAATTTCACAGACAGTAGTGAGATATAAAAGTGATGATAAAGATTCTAGATATTTTTTGTCAATAAAGTGAAGTCGATTAAAGTAAAAATAAATGTGAATGATAAATATGACTATTGTAAAATGTATATATATAAAGGAAAAATTAGTAAATAACTTCAAATTGATCACTGAGCAAGGGTTGCAGAGTAAATTTTGTAGTTGCGGCAGTAAACTGAGAATTTCACGTATAAAAAATAAATTTTGGATATGAATAAATGAAATTTACAAATTATCATAATGTGTGAAGTCACAATTATTATCTTTCTCTGCCATGCAAATATAATACAATTTAACGCTTTAAGAGTATTAAAAAGTTAGAGTTATAAAAGAATCTTCTATAGATTCACTCGTATATATTTATTGCGTAAATCAGGTGTTCTAACGATGTTATGAATAAGTAATTCAGTTTAATAAGTAACATCCAGATCGTGTTCTGTTTGCAATATTTCTGCCATGGTTATACCTTTTTATTAGCTTGGTGATCTATTTCTGTTTAAAAGATCCGTGGTTTCTTTATGCGATTTTTCATCTTTTATGTACTTTAAAAATAACTTCCCGTGCAGCTTTATTTTTTTCCGATTTCTCCTCACTTATGATTCTCAATTGTAGATCAACATTAAATTTTCGTTTCTGTTTGCTCTCAAGCTTTGTTAGAAGCACATTAAAGACCATTTGTCTATATTTAGTCTTTAGATAATTACATGTTTATACATTGCGTACTTTAAAACACAGTGTTCGAATATTTTTATTACGTGTTATTTGTATGTACTTAGTTGTAACAAATATTGTGTAATTCATTTTTATATTTTAAATTTTTCTTTAACTTAACATACATTTGGTGAATGTACATACAGGGTGTTCAGTTACAGGAGTAAACAAATTTAAAGGGAAATTCTTGAAGCCAAAATAAGACTCAAATCAAAAATAAAAAGGTTGCGTTTTCAACTTCATTTTTCAATTATCATCAATTAAAAAATGGCCGAAATATCCTTGAAAGTGGGTCAACACAAGCAGCAGGATACACAGTGATCGTTAAATCCAACGACACACAGTTGGTAGCTTACCTCAGGCAAGCTGTAAAAAAAAAGACTATAACACTGTGAAACATAAACCGTTCTGCGCGACATTTTGTAAGAAAAATCAGAGATTAAACATTAAAGCTGCTTAATCATTGAAATACATAATAACATATTGAAAACCGTCCCATGGGATTTTCGAGTAGACAGGATTAGTGTTTTCTCTAATCCTTGCATTTCATAAATAATTAATAAACAAAAAAACATATAAAGAATGTTTACACGAAGTTTACGCATTGTCCTATCCGTGAATGTTCTCAGAAAAATTACGTACGCATTCAATATTTTTGAGGGGCTAATGAAGGTGATCTTACGCTGATCTCGCATGACCCACACACATTTTCCATACAAATTATAGGTCACTAGATATGATAATATTCACATACATACACGTGGAATAAAAAAACGAAGAAACAACTATAGATAGGATAACTACAAACGAGGAAACAATAAATAGGAAAAGCTACAAAATAATTGTTTGAGCTTATACTCATAGGATTAATTAAAGTATCGTCTTATGATGTGATGTGTAATAACATAGATTAATATACAGCAAAATGTTCGTTGTCGAAATGATACTATTCTTGCAAGGCAGTTCTAAACATTTTAAAACACATCTGATGAACAGACTGTTCGTTTTCTCGATAGGTATATTCAACCATGCCTTTAAAAGAAACACCTTAGATCCATGACTGCTTCTAACTAATTTCGAATTATATGGTATAAAGAAAACGAAAAAATGGGCGAAGAGTATCGTAAATTTTCCTTTTCGAACGAACTCTGCACTACTAACTTGCCATGTAACATGTTTTAACGATTTTGGAAATATGATAAGAGAAGAAAGCAATTATAAAAGAACAAAGTCATATCGACAGCTACAGAGGAACGTTAGAAGAACTGTATAAACATAAAGTTAGAGTTATAATTAGTTTTAGTACAGGTTTAAGTTATTTCGCTGTAAAATTTGTTAGGCCACTTTACTTTTAGTTCATTGAAATTTTCTATTTTTAATTCTTTTATTTTTATTTTTTTTATTTTTTTACTTTTTGTATTGTTTCTGCGTATTGTATGTATCCTTTTAATTTTTTTATTAATTCTAACGCGAGTGATTTTGTTGTACAGTGTGTGTAGTGCGTACAGTGCGTGTTGTACATATTGTGTTCATAGCATACTTTTTTTGCAAGAAAACAGAGGTTATATTAAATATTCACTGTAATGTAAAACGATTACTATTTTCGTTACGACTTTTCTGTGAACAGTCTGGATATTCGCGATGCGTATGCGATCTTTGTGTAAATATACTCTAAAATTCCATAGTATAGTTTTCGATATGCTGATATAAATTTTCCATGGGTTAAGAAGTTTAATGTCTTATCTATGATTTTTCTTACAAAACCTAGCGCAGAATGGTTTATGCTTCCACACGTCATAGTCTTCTCTACGACTTGTATGAGATAAGCTGCAGACCATGTGTCCTTCGATTTGAGGATCACTATG